GGCCACGCCTGTTCTTGGGTTTTCCACCTTTTTCTGGGGGTTTAGCATAGACCGCGTATACAAACTGTGTGGTTCAGTGTATGTTATTGATTGCTAAATCAGCCAATAGCGTTACAAAGATACCGTATATGGCAGGACTGTATAGAATCACGAGCCTTAAGCAGATCAACTGTTTATCACGTGCACTTCCACTGAGACAATAAACGCTTCAATCCAAGAACCTTCCAAGGAGAAAAGATGTCGAATCAAACCTCCATGCTAACACGCTAACATAACAGCACTTCCAGTGTGTAGTGAGGCATTAACCTGCAACCACTGAGTCCAATGAAGGCCCAGTTCTTGCTCTGGGTCATTGGAGTTTGCCAGAAAAACAAAGTCCTTACAAATATTTTTTTTCCAGTTCAGCCTACAGTGAATATCAGGAGGGGGGGAAATGGAAGCCATATGTCCCACAGATATGGTATATCAAAACAGACATGATTATTGATAGTTTAGTTTAGGAAGGAGCTCCAAGATGACTATAGATACAGCTGGGAGGCTGAGATCAAGGTTTAAAACGCAAAAAGGAAATGTCCTCTCTCCGCAGTACATCCTCTTCGGACAAAACCGGCCGGGCCGCTGTATCACTTCCCCGTAACACCCATGAGCAGCGCACACATGCTTCCTGATCTCACAGTTTTCATGTACGCTCTGCCAAGGATGTGCGCTCATTGCTCTGCCGTTCCTCTTTTGCAATTGCGAAAGGTTTTGAAACCAAACGCTGTCGTGCCTTTTCACCTAAGCATCCCTGCCTGTTTGAGAAGCAGAAGGGCTTGTGTCTCGTCGCCCCCTGCCAAGTGGACCAGTCCATGTACAAAACTGAGGCCGTATAGCCGACATGCACGTGACACAGGGGGGAAAACAATGGCGTTAAGAAGCTTTTATAGGAAGGGTTGTGTCAATATGTCGCAGTATCAGAGGTATCGCCATCTATCTGCTCCTGACGCGTTTCAATTAAAACGCATAACAGGTGAAAAAGCTTTGCTCACTTTCTGTTCAGCTGCCTGTGTTAGCTATGCTGAAAGTTTAAGTTCAGTTTTATATATGTATATATTTTTTAAATTTTTTATCCTAAGCTTTATTTATATATTGTCTAATGCAGGGATGTCAAACATATGGCCCGGGGGCCCAAACTGGCCCGCTTGGGTGTTCAATCTGGCCGCTTGAGGAATTTAAAAAAACATAAATAGACAAACACTTCATTTTCATTAGATTTCATTAAATATGAATAAAAAATAAAACATGTCAAATGTACTCGTTTGCACGAAAACAAAGAGGAAAAACAGACCAACTTGACATCTAATTGGGTTTCATGCTGCCTGTGAACCAAAGTGAGTTTGACACCCCTGGTCTAACGTGACAGCCATGTGTGTTTAGATAAACTTTGTTCAATTCAGAAAGATTTGTTGAGCCTAATAATAAAATATGAAAAAAAAGTAAAGTGATATTTAACTATACAAAGTATATTCTAAATTTTTGGCACTGGCAGGTGGACCGGTTGGACTGGCATCTGTCTCCTGGTAGAGTTTTGGACATATGTCCACGTCCTCGCTCAGTTATCGGCCAGTCTCCATTTGTCAAAGTTTCCTCTCGACAATTTGCACCAGAAAATCACAAAACCATTTCCGTAGGTATATAATGAAAGACGACAGCCAATAAAAACGTAGTATTTCTTGGCACGTTGACGCAGTCTGAGAGTTTGATGGAAATGTGTGCACGTGTGTGGTAGGACGATACAGGAAAAACAAGGACGTCTGAGAGAGGTACATGAATGTCGTGCACAGTAGAGTCATAAATCACATGTCAGGTTCTGCACATGTGATCTCCTAACTTGAACAATGACCTTTGACCCTTTCCCCCCATTACCCATGTATGCTTAACTCAACTCTTGTCCTTCTTTTACTCTATCTTTTAGCATCTCCTCTGTCGGTACAGATGGATTTTGTCTCATCCCAAATTGCCAAATTAAGTGATTCCACTCCTAGGGGTACTGCTGAGGTACTGCAGGGCATCATACATATTTTTTTCCCCAATTATTTTTCACTTATTAAATTGAGTTTGAAGCACATTAAATACATATTAATAATTAATACTTCAGTATTAATTCAATATTTCCACATTTATCCTATATTTTATGTTTCAACATTTTTGTTTAAAATCAAAAATGATATTACATTTGTCTAAGGGCTCACGGGAGCCAATAGTAGCCATTAGTTGGTGGTACTTTGTCTACCGGAGGCTAATGTAAAAACTCGCTGTGATTTATTTTATACAATAACAACAATTCATACACTATTTAAATTACATCGCATTCAGTGGCTGCCAATAAAACTGGAATATAAAAAAATATGATTTCCCTAAATTTTTAACATCTGTTATAACATCATAAAAACATCCACTCTAACAGAAAACCCTCCCAAGTAATAAGGAATATTGTTGGCTCTCTGCAGCCTTCACAGCTCTGCGGCAGATTTGTACGTGTAACATAAGAGAAAGTCATTTATAGTGTTTGGGTGGAGAGGGTGGAGGTTGTTGAGTTACATTTTTATGCTCAACATTTTTAAGATGGCAGTTGCTGGCTCTGAGGCAACATTTGTGAATTTATTGTTTCCTTATGTTCGGGGCAGGGGACGGGGGTGTCTACAGTAGAAGAAGAAACAGAGACAGTTGGCTCATCACACCTTGACCTCTGCCTACATCCACAGCTTCTCTGGTCATCATTCCTCCGGGGTTGTGGAGCACAAACACAGGATGTGGCGGAGAGCTTATCTTGTCAGGTGTGCAGTCTGGGTAACGGTGGCCTTGACCCAG